CAACGCTGCACGAGCCCGAACTCTGGAACTCTGACTCCCTTTTTGGACAGCAACTCAACCCCATTATTATTACAGTATTCTTAGTGATAATGGTTTCTCGATCATCCAATCAAAATTGTAGCTCCTGGCACAACGACAAGACGGGAGGAATATTGCATGGGACAAAGTCTGCATTGAAGAAAGATAGACTTTGAAGCTAGAACCATAATTCGAAGCTTGCAATACCACTCACTGACTGTACAGAGGTATCGTCGCAAACATTTCTTGAAATGGAAGGGAAGGAAAAGACGAGAGGGGCACCCACCAAGGAGCTGTGCTCCGCACCGCATTTGTTCAGTTGAGGTTTGTTTCTCGAGTCCCAACGAGCCAACCCAACTTTCCATGTGGGAAACGACTGTGGGATCTGTCAAGTCCGCGTCCACCATGTCCCTTGCCGTCGATCATGTCCCTGTCCGTGGTAAATTGGTACTGTACTGTACAGTACTGTATGTAAACCTCGGGGGTAATGTATTTTTTGAACACGCTCGGACCTCCAAGGCCTTCCCATCCCAGAATGCCCAAGCAAAGCAAATAGAATAGGGGAGTTGCTCGTTTCGTACCTCTAACCTATCAGCATCGATTGAGCATATTCCCCTGTGTGTTTGTAACTTTGTAAATTACTGTAGCCTTGTGTCGCAATGTCTCAAGCTCCTTGACTTCCCGCCCCCACCCCAGGATCCTTGCAACACGTACTCCAAATTACCTAACCTATCTATATTCTACCACACCCGTCTGGCTGGGCCAGCCTAGAAACCCCTAAAACTGATCAGTGGGCGATGGATCTCCAAGCCCGGACGGAGTCGTCGAGTGCTTGTAGTCATTATTATTATTGCCTCATTGGTAGGCTCGTCTCATGTTCTGCCGGTAACCACCAAGACTTCATCCTCAACCCATCTCGCCCTCGTCCACTTCCAATCTACGGAGGTACTGTACTTCGTAGCCCAGCCCAAGGCACCAAACTGCCACCCGTGTGGGGTCATGAAATGACTTGCCACGTGAGTTTCTATTTACTGGGGTCATCCCGACCAGGACTCAGTGGCGCCAAGTCGCCGACTGAGAGGATCACTTGCAGGGCGTAGCGGTAACTTCGGACGGTAAAGTCAAGCCTAGGAATGCTGAAAAGTTAACGCCGGAATTAAGGAATTAACGCCAAGACTTCCAATAATCCTTAAAGCTTAAGGGACTATTAATTCAGGAATCACTAGGCTTGATTAGGCATCAAGGTACATTAGCAAGTAGCTGTTTTAGGCCAAAAATCCCTTAATTTAATAAACACCTATAAAATCCCTAGTTCTACAATTATTAGTTCACACTACCTATAAGTATATCCTCGTCGTTAGACTCTAGTTCGTTCTCTATTTAAACGATATTATCTTCTATATTTAATAGTATCTCTTCTAATAATACCTCTTCCTCTTTCTCCCTTCGTTTACTCTCAGCTTTTATCTCTTTTTCGCCTAATCGAGTAGCCCTTAGGAAACGCGTATTAATATAAATAAAGCATAGTATATCTATTCGTTCAATTAACAGCCTATTTCGCGTCTTAAACTATAAAAGGTTTATAGTAGAGAATACTCGTTCACTAAGAACTGAATTTACTATCGTATAAAGAAGTATAAGTGCTAGTCTTAATAGTTCAGGGGAACCTAGAGTCTATAGCTTATTAGTTATAATATTAATTGGAATAGAGATATATAACTTATAGAGATCTGCTAAAAGAGAATCTTATTATTTATAAAATATTCCTAATAAGGCTTTTACAAGTTAAAGTTACTGTTACGGACCCCTTGGCGCTACGGTTCAGTTGGCACCTATATAATAATAAAACTATTAGTAGTACTATAGGGGCATTAGTACTAACGAGGGAGCGGTACTATTAATAGGGTAGTACCAGCTAGGGAATAATATAGGGCAAGCGAGTAGTACTGCTATACACTCACGCTTCAGTAGTAATAGTTACTTAGATCACGGTGGATAATAGGTCACGTGATAGATCCCTAGATCCCTGGATCCCCTTATAGGAAAACGGATCTAAGGATCTAAGGATCTAGTATCTTAAGGGATCTAAGGCGAACGAAGGTTCTATATAAGACTAGCACGTCTGCTATTAGATAGGAGCTTCGTGCTTAACTTCAAATAGTATTCTAATACTTAGTAACTATCTTTCGTCTACGTGATACACCTACCTCTTAATTATCAGAGATTAACTATAGCCTTCTGTATTTATAGCGAGTAAATACCGGACCGTTACAGTTACCTACTTTCCTATGATGTTACATCTATTACGTAAAGCCTCCCTCTCTAATCTTATTTAAAATAAAGTTATTTACATTATCCTCTTACTTTAAAGCAATAACATAGTATTAATTCTTAAGGGAAAGTAAAAAAGCAGCTAAGTAGATATCAAGAAGTTACGTATTTATATAATAGTTCTACCTACTCTTACCTTCTCGAGAGCAATAGGTTTCAACCTCTTACTACTAGCTACCTATACTTAGAACGTGATAATCTTGAAAATAGCGATTAAGTCTTATCTACTAAGGATATACCTTATTAAGAGTAGTATAATTTAATTTAAATATCTTTTATTCGTTATAGATCAGCTCTAAGAAAGTCTTCAGCGAAGTGAGCTTTTACTAATTAGAGTAGTCCTACTTTAGCTCGGATTTAATCCTTACTAAGTTATTACTATTATTATTAAGTCGATCTATATATAATTAAAGTAATTCAGAGCTCCTAGTAATAGATTAAACTTAAAAGTATTATGTTCCTTAGCATATTAGTACAGTAGAAATTAAGGCACGAATACCGCTATTAGCAGCTATAGAATCACGAAAGTAAGCGAGCTATTTATCGCTTTTAGCAAAGAAAGATATAATAGTATTCGGAATAGACTTAAAAAAAGCTCTAATTTAAGTGTAAATTTACTATCTCCTATTATCCTTTCCTAGAAATAGAAGATCCTTAAATATAAGCTAAATACCGTAGGAGTCACACAGGGATGAAATAATATAGCTATAACCTGGTTCTAAAGGTAGGGTTTTCTAGATAGCTCGTTAAGTACTATAAGTATCAGAAGAGAAACTCGTCTAGCGAGGAAATATATTATTAGTAATTAAATTAGCGTATTTAATAATATTTTTAACTATCTATTCTGCTCTAGCTTTAATAGCTCTAATTACCTCACTCTTCTAATAGTATAATATTCCTCTAACTAAGAATAATATATTTTCAACGTGTACCTTTCCGATATTTAATAATCTATCGCTAACGATTTATATATAAGAGGCTATATCGGTAATTCCTTAAACAAAGTTCTTAATTTTATCGTAGCAACTCATAAGAAGGGAATTACTAAGAGTATTATAGTAAGGAGGTATATAGTTGATTTTATACTAGAAAGCTTACTATTCCGGAGTCGAGAATATAGAGAAGTTTACTATAGAGGTATATATAGTAAGAGTAAAAAGCTTATCTGCAGTTATATCTTTAGAATCGTAGAAATTAGCAATAGATAGTTGTTTTTTCCGTAAAGATTTAGTATCCTTTCTAGTCTCTTTTATAGCTTTCTTATACTTCTCGCACTTTATAAGATATAGCTTTTATATCTTTATAATATTCTATAATTTCTCTTACCTATAGTGTTTACACTCCCCTTAATCTCGTCCTTCAACGTCTTTATATCTCCTGAATTATTCTTTTATATATTTATCCTTAGAGCTAGCTTACCTATTCGTAGAGGCACGCTAGGTGTTTATACCACGTTATATAGGTATCGTAGTAAGTCGTAGTATTAATAAAATAGGTGAAAAGTTAATTTTAAGAGATTTAGATCTAGGTAGGATTTTTAAGCAAATAAAGGCCTCTGATTAGCTGAAATGAGCTAAGCGAGAAATAGGCCTGTTCCTTAGCAGTTAATTCACAGTTAATACTTAAGGACTATTAATCTTGGCATTAAATTTAATGACCCCCCCATTAAATTTAATAGTGCAACCCTAGTCAAGCCCTCAAATCAAGCCCATCTGCTCCGAATCGATCCTCGATGATGGCTCTTCTCCACACGTTGGACAGCTGCTGCCGACGGGAATCCTTTTCTCCTAACCGGTCCGTCAGAAGTCGAGGTGTCTCTCATGTACAGCACTGTGGAAATGGTCGAGCTTGAGAGACTTCAAAAGGCCTCGCGGGTGTTCAAATCACAAAGTTAGTCCCTGACACAAACTTGCAATCCGCCGCTCCTTTCCCAACCAGAAAAAAGTATAAAAAGGAAAAAGAAAAAAAAAGGAAAAAAAATTGCGGGTGACAAAAACAGACGCGAGTCGGTCAACTCATTCAAGGCGACCATGTGCCATGGGCTCCCATTGGCATGGCACTGGGTTGATCAAATGAATGCAACACGCAGGTGCGCGCATGCAACCCACGAATCTCATCCTATCCACGCGCTATGCGGTTGCGATGTCTTGAAGTCGTACGACGACTATGTTCTCGTCTTTACAATTAAGACGAGAGTCTAGCCATGGTCTTGAGTTCAAGAGCAGACTTAGCTAGCGATTATTGAGGTTGTGGCCGAGTCGTTGAAATGCATCTGCCGCGCCAGTAGTGACACTTCGCTGGCCCTCCAAGTGCTGCTCCCGCAGGGGGCAGGTGGGCAACGCAGCTAACAACAGGCCTGCCTTGCTCCTCCCCATACAGTAAGGGTCAATATTTATTAGGAACCTCTCGTGGCGTTTTGTGCAACCGAGAGACTGGGAGCGCGATTGAATTGGGCCTGAATCGAACTCTATCTGTGCCGGTGACAGGGGCTGCCGAGGATCGACCCGTCGAGATAGTTGAGACATTGTCGATTACAGATCCTGCAAGTCCGCAATCCATTCCTGTTGCAGTTGAAGAAAGGAGAGAAGAGGAGAGGAGAGAAGAATAGGTTGCCGACAGAGAGGTGGGAAGAAAAAGAACAGTAGAGTAACATGCCATCAGTGAGCATCCGCTCCCCCTGGTGTCTGCGACTGGTATTGGCCTTGGCTCTCAGTATTGATTCCTCTGCTTGGTGCTCTATCTGCTGGGATTCCCGCACCCAAAAGTGTACTTCGAAGTGTATCAAATTATGCTGCGCCGGATGGCAGCGCAGCGCCACAGCAAAGGTATGCCTCTTTGTTTCGACTCCCTTCCCCCCCCCCCCCCCCCCCCCGTGTGGCTTGATGGTTTTGGACTTCATCTGACTGTCCAAGTGGACCTTCAACTATTACTTCAGTTTCATTTAGTGTAGTTCGAATACTTGGCTATTGCAAGTAAAGCCGTTCGCAACTTGCTTTGGTATCCGATTCTCTGGGTCCCCTGTGTTCCTATAAGCTTTTCTACATACTAATTTTCATTCGTCTCAGACCTCTTCGATAAAGGAACTTTACATACCTCATTCGGATAGTTCCAAGTATTCCGAAACTAAGTTGAAAGGGACTGTACGGTTCGCGAAACTTCGCCTTTCCAAGGGTGTACTTGGTTTCCGTGGCGGAAAAGCTCACTATCAGAGCAATTACTGATCTCCTGGTGGTGAACATTTATGCAAAGCAATCCAATGCCCTGCCTTGGTCAATCCGATGGTTAAATGCGTGATTGTGATCCGTATCAATTCGGATTTTGTACATATGTTCCACTGCCTCTTCCGCTTGAGATGTGGTAGATCTATTCTCGTCTTATAAGATTTAGGGCCAGTGTTGTCGGTCCATTGTTTGAAAGCGTGGCTAGCCAGGAATCGTTGGGTTCCGTACTTCGTTAAGCTTCAGGCTTTGGGCATCGTGGTCTGTCTATACTTGTCTTGATCGTTCTTGGCTGCGAGGTCGATCACAATGGCCCACCTATCAATTCCGTATGTTCTCTTCTCACTGCCTATAACAAAACACCGCACGATACCACAGGCGGAACAGTGCTTACATTCTTTACTTTATTGCGATCGGTTCGGATTCAGGAAAGATGAGATTAAACTAATATGTTCTCTCCGTATCTGGCTCGGTCACCAATCATTTGAGTGAATCGTGTTCTGCGGAAGCTTTTCTTGGATCACCGCTCCTAAGGCAGTTCCAGCGCATCCCTCCTCCCTCCTTCGAGGGGTGTGAGAACGTATCAAAGACTCGCAACCTCTTACCTCGACCCTCATCCAGTGACAGGTGTATTCTCAAACCTCTACATGGCATGCGCTTTCACATATCTCTGTCACGAAATGTATTACAGCCCTGACTTCTTGAAGCGTTGCTCCATCCTTTATTCTGCCTCTATTTTCAAGTGGCTTTTCAGTTGCGGGTTCACCTAGTCTCACGACATATTCAGACCTCAGCCATCAGAAATAGCATGCCTCTTGGACTATCAGTACTGCTATCAGCACGTAGCTTGTTTCTATCCTTCAAATGCCTGTATTACTCAAGATGTTTCCGTACATAAGACGAGCACTTTGTCTTAGATCCTCAACGTCCATGTATCTATTTGTTTCATAACCCATTTTGCTACTTTTCCATAGCCTTCCTCGAAGAAAGTATGGCCCTACTCCAATATCTGTGAGGGAGGTAGAAGTCAAACGTTCGCCTGAGTGGCGACTGCTCCTCAATTCCATCAGCGTGAAAGGTCGGTGGAAGTGACGACTTTCGGAGCAGAAAGGCCTGGAAGTCAATATGTCTTAATGCAAACCAGCTGTTTTTTGAGCGGTTGTACTTTTCGTACTTCTACCCAGCCAACTCGCTTTCAGTAAAGTTCACTGAGCCTTCCATAACAATCAAACTTGCTGCTGACGGTCTATAGTTGAGGGATTAAGACCAAGTCCGAAGGCGTGCTTGAACCCGACTGGGAATCCGGTTAGCTAGTTGAGTGTGGTAAAATAGGAGCGGAAATGGGCTATCATGTCCCCCGTGTACATGACGATGAGTTTTCGTGTACTGCACAATACAATGCGTTAGGATAGAAGAGGCCGATCGAGCTACAGCCTCTACAGCGAAACCCCAATATTTTCAGATGCGTATCTTTAGATTCCTTTTGCTCGTAACTTGGCTCTATTTGTAATTGTTTCCTATTTATATCTCTATGATATTAGAATGTAAGCTATTTTACGTATCTGTTCTTATCTAAATGCTCACAAAGTAATAGGAACAATGTAGCAATGGAACCCTACTAAAAAGGAAAGGAATACCTTGAACGTAAGAGTTTCGACTCTCCCTTTAGAGGGTTTTTATCCTCCTGTCTTCGCAGATCTTGGCATGAAGAAGCTGTGATATTGCGCATTTGCTGAGCCCAAGGGCATGACTCTTTGTGGATCCACCTTCCAAATGTCCGATAATTCTTGCTGTTTCGCTTCAGAGCTGGGAAGGTGGCATCTGAATCCAAACAAAGCTAGGCTTGGCTAAGCTTAAATCACTTACTATTTTTGGTTAGCGTCAACATTTCAGGAGTGGCGTTCTGCCACGGTGGGGTGGCTGAATTGCTTGTGGTTCAAGGTTGTTCCGCTCCGGCGGCGCAAGAGCGGAGGAGAGCCTGGCTCCTGGGACGAAGCTCCTAAACGGCGATCATCGTGTAGCTAACGTGTTATCAACGCCTTATTTGTAACTGTCGTCATAACGTTCGCCCACGACTCGCACACAAAGCATCAGCATGGGTACTTGATATTCGTATACAGCAAGGTCTTCTACCCTTTTGATCCGAGCCGAGTAACTGCAAACAAAATGGGACGGCTTGCGTGGTATGCTGGAGTAAGCATCTGAAGCTCCATCACGATGCCCGGATCAAGTGGCTAACGGCTACAGGTGTCTACGGCCCTGGCTGGAGGGGTTATACTTTCTGCCTTCAATCAACGGGCAAACTTCTATTCGGCGTGTGTTTATATGGCACAAAGCAACCTTTGCCTGATGGTATGCTGGCCGCTCGAACAGTCCTTGCAAACGACACTGACTAACTCGCTTGGCAGATATTGATCAACCTGATCCTTTTCGTCTACGGATCTTTCATGTACGGACTGCAGCGACTTTGTTATGGAGCACTTCGGCCTATTGAAATCGAACAACTTTACGAGAAGTCTTGGTTCGCAATAACGGAAACATGTCTTGCAATGACCATATTTAGAGAGGAAGTCGGTGCATGGTTCTTGGTGATGTTTGTTGCCCTCTTGACGGGTAAGGTATGGGGATGGATCGGAGATGGGAGAGTGGAGATTCTCGAACAGCAACCACCTGCGAATCCACGTCTTTTCCATATTCGGCTTTCTCTGTCCTTGGGCATGTCTGCCGTGTATGATCTCTGGCTGATGAAGTACACCATCAACACCGTTATCCAGCAGGCGAGGCCGAATATGATGGTGATGTTTCTTTTTGAGTTTGCCATCCTCACCACATCATCATTTGCGACGGCGTTGCGATACGGCATATCATTAGTAGAAAGCAGCGTGGTAAAGCAGCAAACCCAGGAACGACTTGCTGAGCGGAGGAGAGAGGTTAGAGAAGAGAGGGCCGAGATGATTCGTCAAAGGGAAACCGCAGCTGCGGGAGGTGCTGAAACAGCTGATGCAAGTGCGCCTTTGCCTTTCGAAGATGATGTGGACGAAATGGATATTGAAGTTCCCGGATGGGAGGCAAAAGGCCAATGGGTATTGACCCTAGACTTGATCACTGGTAAGCAAACACGCTTTCGCTTGGACAGTTTCTGCTAATTCGGTAGATTTTGTCAAATTGGGCATTTACGTTTCGTTCTTTGTTATTCTACTCATGTTCTACGGTCTCCCAATTCATATTATGCGAGATCTGTTCCTTACAGCACGGTCTTTCACCAAACGTCTGAGGGCTTTTGTGAAATATCGCAAGGCCACGCAGGATATGAATGCAAGATACGGGGATGCTACAGTAGAGGATATCCAGCGGGAAGATACTTGTATCATCTGTAGAGAGGAAATGCGACCATGGTCTGTCACAAATCCAGAGCCTCCACCTGCGGCACCCGCGGAAGCACCCCCGATAAGACCTACTACTACCATTAATGAACGAACTCGGCCTAAGAAATTGCCCTGCGGCCATATCTTGCATCTCGGTTGTCTCAAGAGCTGGCTTGAGCGGCAACAGGTCTGTCCAATATGTCGTCGACCCGTGATTGATGCCGCCGGAGCTCAATCTGCAAATAATGGCAACCCAGTAGCTCAAGAACCACAACCTGGCCCTGGTCAGCAGGATGGTGCTGGAGCACAGGCCCAAGCAGCTGTCAGACCTCAGCGTAGGATGCGGATGCTCAACCTTGGGCCTCTGAGAGTTGGCTTCGGCCAAGCTAATCTCCAAGATTTTGCACAAGGTCTCGCTGGGCAGCAACAAGGACAAGAGAATGGAGTAGGCGGAGCCGGAAATGCGAGGATTTATGGTTTGGAGCTGGGATTTCCTCGTCGAGCCCAAGCACAAGGCCATGTGGGGGAAAATCTGAATGCGGCTGGGGCAAGTCCTATCCAGGATCAGCTTCAACAGCTCGAGCAGCAAGTTTTGGCAGAGATTAGAGCTCTGCAAGTAACACAGCAAGAGCTACACTTAGTGCAGCTCTTGCAGGTAGAGCTTACTAGGCTGCGGCTGCTACAAAATGGAGCGGCAGATCCATTGGCACCAACTTTTCAGATGCCACAGGTAAACCAACTGCCACAACTTTCACTTCCACCTATAGGACCATTGGGAAATGGCAGAAACCCCTCGCAGTACGCTACTCCTCAGTTGGCAAGACATGTGGCGCGACCGAATACAGCCGCTATACCCTCAGGCAGTACCAACCTCCCACCTGGCGTAACTATCCCAGAAGGATGGTCCCTTCTTCCGTTGGAAAGATTAGATGGCAGCGCCGCCATCCCGCAACCAACAAGTATGGCAACTACAGCATCTACAGCCACCACGCAAAGTGGCACCAGCCCTACAACCGGTATTTCTAATAATACCTTGTCATCCACGCCGAGAATAAACCCCGAAGATCACTCAGGGGCTTTGTCTACTGATTCGTCCGACACAAACGCCATCCACACTCCACTGTCAATAGCAGCTGACCAAGCCAGCATCGCAGCCCCGAAGACCTCAACGCAAAGTACCACCTCTACCTCCAGTAGCACAAGGGAATCCACCGCAGCACAACCGGAGGATACAAGCGCAAATGTCTTGCCTCACTGGGGCTCCAATCAACTATATATGGGCTCAAGTTCTGTGGCCAATCCGATCAGTAATGCAGAAGAATCTTCCCCCAGAGCGTTGGCAGCACAAACCCCCACAATTGTTGATGTGCAGGGCAGTATGGATAGTACGGCTTCTTCCACGGCTGAGGAGGGATTATCTTCATCACGAGATACCCATGAAGAGGAGCGCAGGAAGGAGAAGGGGAAAGCGAAAGCTGCCACGGTGGAGGATACAGTTGACGAGGCAGAAGGGGCTTAATCCAGGGCAGACTGATACCTAGCTTCGTTGTCGTATTTGACAGTGTATTCTTGATGGTGCATGGAGCGGAGCGACCTTTAGGCTTGTTGTATTTGTAACTCGAACGAAAGTTCAGAAGCGTATCACATACTTGCGCTCGTACATGCTGACTTTTTATCTGGATATTGCTGAAAAAGGTTTGTGCTGGCCCTGAACCAACTGGTCAGCGCTTCTCAGCTGAACTTTGACTTATCGGCATGATAACCAAAGTTCCTTCTCCATTTTGCCTTCCCCCTCATGTAAGTTGTTGAACACAGTGGATGGAAGGCCTTGGGAATTTTGACGTCAGTCTACTATTAAAGCATTGCTGAGTTAGATCACATCTTTTCCAAATCTTATTTGTACAAGAACCCCCCCATCCCTCCGCCACTGGCATCTAGGCAATTGCATTTATGGTACTAGAGTTATTTCCCCTCACAGTTGCTCTGTTAATATACCTAAATCAAATCACGTTAACCCTTTGTCACTTCTTAGAATAACTCTGGTCTGTCGACCTCAGACATGCCTACGAGACCATCGACTGACTCGGTAGTGAAGAAGCGTCCGCCTCCGAGCACAACAATCGGAACCCCATCAAGGTGATTTCGCTGCAGTACTTCAATTTCAGGAGATCTAATCGTCGGGCTTGTTAGGGAGAACAGGTCTGGCAACATGCTGCAAGACGAACCTTTTCGAGAACTATTCGTTCCCCAAACGTGTTAAAGTGTGTAGAACGTGAATACCTGACTTCCTTGAAAGCTTCGACGCCCAAGACATCGAAACGAATCAGAAGACGATAGGTAAGTTACACAATACTTACCTCGGCAAAGCAGTAGACAAGGATTATAGTCTGTTTCATTGTGACAAGGCAGTGAACCGGTATGACTGCAAGTACCGGGCACATTCACGAGTCTTGTTGCATATAGATTGCCGAATAATAGCACTCCTGCCAGTGTCCCTCTTGTTGCAGGGAGCCGCAAGATCCTCGATAAGGATGGCCATACTGCAGTAGAACACAGAAGAATCCGGACATCTGAAGAAGGGGAGTTTACGACTTTGAAGCAGTGAGAATTGATAGTGTGGTTGCATCTTGGAACTGCTTGTTCAACAACATTCGCGCAGGCAATCTTCGCGACATATTGGGCAAGATGGCAATTCACTGCCTTCTTGACACGTCCGCATACAAGTCGCATACCGTTCATTTCGACCATATATTTCCCATAATCCTGTCCAGAGGTATTATTCTGCAAGGCATAATCGCAAAGACTGTAATGGCAGTCAGAACCCTTCGGGCAAGCAAGAACTCCGTGTGGTTTCAGAATGGCATCGGGCAAGGCACTGGTGGCCATAATCGCTGAGATAATGGTTATAAATCAACTGGCGGCCTGGTTCTTGACTGATTTTCTCGAGATCGTTAGATTTTGAGGCGCCGATATGGGTATCTGGATGTTAACAGATGCTGAAACTTCTGCCAGTAGCATTATCCACTTGTAGCAGTCCAAGCATGTCATCCAACATCTGTACACTTATATTGGTATCTGAATGCCCGATGAGATAAGAACTGTCTATGTTCGCTACGTTGTTTGTTGTTTCAGCTGCTAGTCTTTGGGGATCCAACCTTTTTCGCCATGTTACTTCGCACGAGCGAAATGATGAAGATATTGGCTTCCTCACCACAAAAGTCACGTAATTGTCAGCTTTGTCGTCAACGGCATCGTATCATAGTCTCCAAGTGAAGTGTAAAAGAATCCCTGCTGGTTGATGCGTCCGATAATCATTTCCGACATTGCAACTGGCATTCCTGTCATTACGGCCTCGACACGGAGAAGGATCGGTGGATTTGGGCCACAGCTTAATGTCACTACCATGCTTCAAGATACTGAATGACATGGCTTGAAATGAAAGAAGAGCGTGCGCAATGACTGGAAACTATCTACAGTAACCAAGCGATACCTGATTAGCAACAAGTTCTTACATTGGTTTACGTGGCGTCAATACAAAAAACCATACCGCAACAACTCGCTCATCGGCGTTTGGCCAGCAGTTTCTACTCTGCTTGACAGTCTGGTTCTCGTTTCCATTAGCCACCGCAGAGTTGGTGAATCACTCCCGGTCAAGAGCCTCTTCATCTCGGTGACTCTGAATACTTTCACAATCCCTGCGGAATTTCGCGCGTAGAGCTAGTAAATGCCTTCTGTAAGGAACGAGAGCAGTGACGTCCAAACTGCTTTAAATACATTCGCAAACAATGCAATGAGCGAGCGCATGTGTTATATTGACCTCCCAGGAGCTGCTGTGTGACTTCTGTTGAGCAATGTTGGAGCCGCCATCTTCAACATGTGTGATCCAGAAAAAAACACCTTCTTCTACATACCATGGACATCGGGAGTATTTTGAGTGCTTTTGTGATTGCCGAGATCCGAGTAGATGGTAGTACGGATGAGATTGGAGCTCTGTGGTCGCATTTATCGCTGTACATTTTATTGGGACACAGGAAGTGGTAGTCGTCCGGATGCAGTCGTGCAGTCATTCAAATTGCTTGGTCAAATGGATATGGACCGACTGGCTGTTTTTCAGTGTTGCGGATGCCCCCCAGCTTTCGTCTAATGGAGGCACCTCTTGACCCTCGAGTTCCTTGCAGTTATTGCCACATATGTAGGCGTCCATGTTGGTCTTCCGGCCAGCTCTAGCGATCACTCGAGGATCCTTAACCTCTAAGCACTGACTTACTCTTACTCCCGATGCGAATGAAATTCTCCACGCCAGCACCTACAAGGTACTACATGAATTGGTTCAATGCACGGTTTGTGTAGTAATTCAACACATTCAGTAGGCTCCACATCTCGTCAGGAAAAGTGCGTCTTACACAATGATAATTGGACCTAGGTGGGCGATGCGTGAGGATGGAAACGGCATTTTCATCTAGCTGGCCCTCAATTACGACCTCCCCGTTTCCGGAAGTCCTTGGCTTTGAACGACTTCGTGGCTCAATGCTGAGAGCAAGGCTTCGCACCATCCTGAGTGTTGAGCTTCGACACAATCAAGAATATCGTCATTGGTCGAGGACACTTGCATCGGGCATATCAGAACATTACCGGCAGCTTCGCTGAGAATCGGCCTCAAAGAGAAAGTTATGTCTGGGCTTTGCGCACATGTGGGTGGAGGTATGCAAAGAGGAGCTGGGTTTTTGGTTGCCTTGTCCAGTAGAAAACGTATTACATTGGCGAAATGGGAGCCGGCAGAGACGCCACATATTCTGGAGACTTCCCACAACAGGAATTGATGTGGTGAGTTTAATATAATACCAAGAAGCTCTCTCAAGATTCCACGTGGATTCTGACAATGCAGTCGGACCACGGTTTCAAAATGTCCTTGTTGTCAAGCTCGACAGTGCTTGTCGCAAAGTGATTGTGGGAGCTCAGGCTGGCACTTATCCAGGGTTGGTCTCCCTTACAGTCACGGTTAGCAACGAGCAAATAGCTGTTGATATCTTCAATTGAGTGCAAGCAGAGTAAGATTTCTTCTCCCGGCCGTCTAAAGGCTTCCCAGTACCTGCGTCATTGTTCTTTGGCCCTCTTACGTGCTGCTGCTGTGTGAGGAAACATTAACTGGGCCCCTAGCCCACAGAGACAATCAAAATTCGTGTGATGGATCTGGTTTTGGAAACAGGAGTAAGCTCAGACTATGCCAATAATTAGTCGTGGATCTTCAATGAGCGCAACTCTCGTTCTCCTGCAAGAACTATGCCCACCTCAAAGCTCCTTCTGAAAAGTAGAGATATTTAGAGTGTATGATGATTCCATTACTTCGGGGGGATTTCTAGCTCTATATATCTACGCCCTATTTCCTAATTCGGTATAGTATTAAGCTAGCTCTTATGACTTCTAAAACCGGAAGGTTTCAAAAAGCTCTAGCTTATGAAACTAGTAAATTCCTGAAATAGGAAGGAAACCTTCTAGTTTCTAAAACACCGGAATTACCTTAGCTTCTAAAACACCGGAATTTTCCTTATAAGGTTTCCTAGCTTCTAAAACATCGGAATTTACCTTATAGCTTATAAACACTAAGAGTTATATATTCCGAAACTATACTAGGAATATCTAACTCTAATAGCCCCTTGTAAGATATATATATATATTTATTATATTTTATCTTAAGGTTTTTTATTTTAAATTTAAAGCTGATATAAATCGTAATTGTTTATTATTATCTAATCCTTTTGTAAAGCTATCAGCTAATTGGACGTTAGTATTTACATATAATAAGCTTAGTTTATTATTAGTTATTTCGTTTCTTATAAAGTAGTATGTTATATCGATATGTTTACTTCTTTTATAAAATTCAGGGTTATTAGCTAATTTTAAAGCTGATTCACTATCAGTTAATAGTTTAGGTATATTTGAGTCTTTTTTATATATTAGTTTATTAAAGTAATTTATTAAGTTATTTAAGTATATTATTTCTTTAATAGCTTCTTTAAAAGCCATATATTCAGCTTCGCAACTTGATAAAGCTATAGTTTTTTGTAATATACTAAACCAGCTTATAATACAGTTATTTATAAAGTATATATACCCGCTAGTACTTTTTCGGCTATTAATATCACCTCCCCAGTCTGCGTCTGTATAGCCTAATAATTCTAGAAAAGTCTTATTATTACAAATATAGTAGGTTCCTGAATATGGATATTTATTAAGATACTTCCATATTAGGTCTAGTGCTTTAAAGTGTGATAAATCAGGATTAGATATATATCTAGCATATTAACCGGTAGCGTAGCTTATATCGGGTCTAGTTTTAGTTAATAAGTGTATTAAGGAGCCTATTTGTTATTGATATAATTGTAAATCATCTTTATTAGCTATATTAGTAGCTTTTTGTAATTTTACCTGTAATAGTCCGGTATTTACTCGCTGTAAATACAGAAGGCTGTAGTTAATCTCTAATAATCGAGAGGTAGGTATATTATATAAACGGAAGATAATTACTAAGTATTAGAATACTATTTAAAGTTAAGTATAAAGCTCTTATCTAATAGTAGACGTGCTAGTCTTATATAGAACCTTCGTTCGCCTTAGATCCCTTAGGATACTAGATCCTTAGATCCTTAGATCCGTTTTCTTATAAGGGGATCTAAGGATCTAGGGATCTATTATATAACTTATTATCTACTATAATCTAAGTAACTATTACTACTGAAGCGTAAGTATATAATAGTACTACTTACTATCCTATATTATTCCCTAGCTAGTACTACCCTATCGATAATACCGCTCCCTTATTAGTACTAATACCCCTATAGTACTACTAATAGTTTTATTATTATATAAGTGCTAACTGAACTATAGCGCTAAGGGGTTTATAATACTATCCTCCTTTTAGCCTAGTGTAGTCCCTATATTTAAGTATAACCTTAAGAAACGTTAATAGTTACTAATAACTATTTTCCTTATCTATTATATCTAGTATTATAAAGAAATCGAGTATCACTTAGATAAAGAAAAAACAGAGTATCTAGCTCGCGCTTTATATTAAGTGTATTATATAACTCGTAAAGCCTTATTCCTTCTACTATAGCTTTTCCTATACTTACTTCTTAGATTTATCTATTTCGAAATAATACTCCGAGTATATTCGCTTAAAGTATTATAATTATAATACCTTAGGGTATATTAAGAGGTT